TCCACAACTAGACTGAAGAACAAAACGACAGCAACTTGTCTGTTCCCCTTCCCCCAATTCCCCAGCGCTGTTCCCATCCCCCCAACTCCCCAATAAAGATCTTTTAAAAAAAGAATAAATTAAACCTGGAAAAAAAATAAAAATGAGGTAGAGGAGGAGGTAGTGGCAATAGAAGAGTCAAGGAATGGCTAGACGTAGGAGAAAAACAAGGAAAAGTTTGGGTCTCTAGATTCAAGAGAAAAGATAATTTCTAGAATGTGTGAGTGAGTGGTCCCTGGATGTCTTTAAATATCGGTGTTCCTCAGAGTTCTGTTCTAGATCTTCATTTCTTGCTCTATGCACTATCTGGGATACTCTGATTCACTCATATGACTTCAATTACTACCCATACACTGATATCCAGATCTGTCTCCCACCCAGGTTTTTCTCCTTACTCCTAAGCCATATAATGCTTCTATTGGCCACCTACCCTTGCATGACCTCCAGGGATCTCAAATTCAACATGTCGAAAACAGAATTCATAGTTTTCTTCCCCAACCAGGTTCAGTTCTCAGAAAATTTATATTTTTTCTCTCTCGCCAAATGCCTGGAAATTATTCTTATCATAAACTCCCAAATTTAAATATGAAGTCCTGTGTCTCCAAAACTTATATATTTTATGGATTTATTCACATTTCCTCCTCCAATTATATCTCTAATAATAATTAGTCTAGTCTGGGGATTTCCAACTGCAGGTCAATTTAAAATTAATTAAACTAAGATCAAGCTATTAAGTGTGACTTTAAACTCAGGAATTAAACAAGATGGTAAACACGCACTAGTGGCTGGTTCCTCCATCATACCCAACCCGAGAGATGGCACAGAAATGGATAGATCTGCAAAAACTGTGAAAACCCTGGCGAGATATGTGTGTGCACACGTGTGCATGTGGGTTGGCAAACAGTCACGATGAAGCCCAGACAGTGATACCACAGGCTTTCTCCCCTTTGGGGCATCCCTCACCTTTTCCCAATGCTGGGCTCTCCCTCTAGGTAAATGTATCAGCCAAGGTAAATGATACCTCCAGGGGAATACAAATTAATGGAGAAAAGTAATGAGACGTAGAAAAAGGTGCAACTTCCATTAAAGTAAGAAAAACTGAACAACCTAGACTAAATGTAACAGATTAAATGCATTAGATGGAAAGGTAATTTAAATAAGATAATACATATCCTCAAAGAAAAAAAGAATTCATATTAGTTACATCAGGGTTTCTCAACCTTGGCATTATTGACATTTTGGGACAGAAAATTCTTTGTTGTGGTGAGGCTGAGACTGTCTTGTGCACTGTGGGAAGTTTAGCAGCACCCCCTAGCTTCTACCCTCTAGATGCCAGTAGCACAACCCTGAGTTGTGACAACCAAAAGTGTCTCCAGACATTGCCAAATGTCTCCCCAGGGTAGGTGGGGGGACAAAATCACCCAACTGGGTTACTTGAAGCAGAAACAATAACTCATGAACCAATTTAAAATACTGTAAAAAATATATAATGGTTGAATAACTCAACAAGTGGGTTGTGTAGCAATATGGATGTAGGCCAAGAATCAATTACTGCACTGAAAAATCAGGTTGAGGAACTCTTTTGGAAGGTATCTGGGAAAGGTAAAGATGAAAATATTAAAGTTAACAGACCTAGAGGTTATAAGTGTAACTATCTACATCCTAAGAATCCAAGAAGAAGGGGAAAAATAGAGGGGGAAAATATTTGTAGATATAATGCTTGCTAAATGCCTAGGACTAAAAAATAAAATAAAATAAAAAATCTCAGATTGAGTACATAAAGGGCAAATCAGGATAGACAGAAAAAAAATCTAATCTTAGATACATTTGAGTGACATGAAAGAACATCAAAGAGAAACACCCAGAGGGAAAGAGCAGCTCTCCTACCAAGGAAAGAGATAGATTGACACTGGACTTCTTAAAGCATCCCAAGAAGAGAGTAGGAGAATGGGAGATCATAAAGGAAGGGGAAGTGAGAATCAAAAATTAATAGTGGGCCTTGTAGGCATTCAATAAACTTATCTCTATTGTGGTGTAACAGAAAAACCACTCAACTTAGAGAAAATTACCTCTGCCGAAGTCCCAACCCAGATTCTTTGGAGACAATGCCAGGTAAAAGGTAGATCCCATAGAGGGAAAGTGGGTGGTGGTACTTTTGTGAGTCCAGTATCAGGCCTTCAGTTGTACAAGTGGATCCAGTTCCGAGGACCTGATTTGAGAGACTAATCTATGCTTCATAATATTAACTTACTATTCATAATGGGGTAAAACATCTTCCCAGGAAAGAGCATACAAACCTGGGCTTGTTATTCATGATATCTCTTATCTATCTAAGTGCTCAGTTAATTACCAATTATCAACTAGTGAATACTGAATCAGAAAAAAATAATTGAATGATCTTGAGGAAAACCATGAATTCTCCCGAGGTCATTAGCATGTACTGTTAGATTCAGGTTCTCTATCAGTGCTACGTAAATGCTAACCAATTCTTGTTCATCTTCTCCCAACCCCCACCCCATGTCTCATCTTACTTTAGTTATCCAATTAGATCAGTTTTATATTTTAGTCATGAGATTACCTTGAATATTATGATTGGACTTTTTTAACAAACATTTACAGGTAAAGTAAAAACAACCAACAGCTATTTATTATGTGTTAGGTATCGTATAAACATTATCTCATTTAATCCTCAAACAACTTTTTGAGGTTAAGTACTATTATTATCTCTATTTTAGAACTTGGGCAACTGGGATAGAATGAGTTAAGTAACTTGCTTCATGTCATTCAGCTAGTAATCAGGGCCAAAGAAAGCTAGTAAGACCTCAAAACTAATAACCTGAATAATTGTGCTAGATCGTCCCCATGTCCCAGGCTCACTTTTCTCATCTGCACCTATCCCAGAGTTGGGAGACTGAAGTGAGATAAAACATACAGCAGGGTTTTATAACCTATGAAGCATACTGCAAAGTGGCATATACTATTTTAAAATATACAATTAAAATGCAAAAATTTTACAATTTATAATAATGGATAACAGCACGAATACAGAATGTACACATTTCACAATCACAAAATTCAGATACATAAAAACTTTATTGAAATATAACATATATGCTGTAAAGTTCACAAAGCTTAAGCACGCAGCTCGATTAAATTTTAAGAAGGTAAAAATTGCAAAAAATAAAAAGTAACCACTACTTAGATCAAAATACAAAACATTACCAATACCTCAGAAGCCTCCCTTCGGCAAATGGTATATGCTTTTGAGTTAAAGATCTGGATTCAAATCTTGAACTTTCACTTTCTTCTTGCGTGACTTTGGCCAGTTATTTAACCTCTTTGGGTCTCGGTTGAGCCATCTGTAAAGTGAGAATAGTATCTTATAAAATTGTTGAATTAAAAGTCATATAATATAAAACGTCTATCACAGTGCCTGAATATAGTTGCTCTGCAATAAGTGGTAATTATTCTCAGGCAAATGCAATAGGCGGTCGCCACCTCCAACTTCCTGCTTTTCTGTCGCTTACTTTTGAAAGTTGCTCTCGCTCGCATTCTTTTTCTCTTTCTTCTCGCCCCTCCTACTGCCGTAAATAGCCCTCCAGAGCTGTCGTAAAATGCTCCTCCCCGCCCTCCATGTGGCGAAAACGCAATCACACTTGACGGCGCGAGGTGGCTCAGCCGCAAGATGGCGGCGCTGGCGGAGGAGCAGACGGAGGTGGCGGTCAAGTTAGAGCCCGAGGGACCGCCAACGCTGCTACCTCCGCAGGCTGGGGACGGCGCTGGCGAGGGTGGCGGCGGCACCACCAACAACGGCCCCAACAGCGGCGGTGGGAACGTTGCGGCGTCGTCGTCGGCCGGCGGGGATGGTGGGACCCCCAAACCCTCGGTGGCTGTCTCCGCCGTTGCTCCGGCGGGGGCGGCCCCGGTGCCCGCCGCTGCTCCAGAGGCTGGAGCTTCCCACGACCGACAGACTTTGCTGGCCGTGCTGCAGTTCCTACGGCAGAGCAACCTCCGCGAAGCCGAAGAGGCTCTGCGCCGGGAGGCCCGGCTGCTGGAGGAGGCAGTGGCGGGCTCCGGAGTCCCGGGAGAGGCGGACGGCGCCGGTGCTGAGGCGGCTAGCGCGCTTCTCAGCCGGGTCACAGCCTCGGCTCCCGGTCCTGCGGCCACAGACCCTCCGGGCACCGGCTCTTCGGGAGCTGCCGCCGTCTCGGGCTCAGCAACAGGACCTGTAGCTCCGGGGAAAGGTGAGCCGCGGGGTCCCGGGAAGGCAGGGCGGGCATGAAGGGGAGCTAGCCGGGAACGCCGAGGCTGGCAGGCCTGCACCTCTGCGGGCTTGTTTTGAATTTCCTGGGCCCGCCTCTAGGGCCACATGCCCGCCCCTTTCTTGAGTGCGCCGGCTGCGCAGTCAAACCCTCTTACTAGAGCTGTCAGTTCTAGCGAAAGCCATTGAGCAGAGGGATGTATGGGGCAGGTGGGCGCGGAGAGGCGGGGACCTTCAGGGTTTTGGTCCCTTTTCTCTTATTTGGACTCTTGAGCCTTGGATAGGTCTGCATTAACACTAACAATATTTGTACAGTTCTGGACTAGCGTAGGTTAACTACTATAAATATTTTAAGTTCTATATCTTAATTCTCACAGTTCCACTATTTTACAGGTGAGAAAAAAAGACTGAGAAAAGCCAAGGGACTCGCTTTGGACCACACAGCCAGGGAGTGATGGAACATAGTGTAGCCAGTATTTCTAGAATATAGGCTATCACAGGTGTTGAATCTTTTGGGGAATGCGGATTCCTGGGCATCATTTCAGACTTAGTGACTAAGACCCTGAAGAAGCTGAGCCTGAGGATCTGCATTTTTGAATAAATGCTTCCGAGGGGTACTGATGTATGGCCAAGTTTGAGAACCATTCATTTGGGAATAGGCATTGGACAGACCTGAGTTCAGATTGTGTCTCTGTTGCTTTTACTCGTTTGATGCTGATTAAGTTATTCTTCCTAAAATTGAGTTTTTTTCTCAATTAAATGGGTTATGGTGAGACTTAGATATAATATATGTAAAGTGACTGGCATTGAAAAGTTTATGCCTAGGTATCCATTCCTGACACCTGAACCCCCCCCCTTTTCCCAGCAACTGTTTTCACAAAGTCGATGCATTAAAACTCATACACAATATAAGATCTCAAAGGTGATCCTGAGCCAATAATAAATGTTAGTTGAATTAAATTATCCAGTACAGAACGTCTAGCCAATCTGTATTTAATGAAACCTAATCTTTGCAGTATTACCAGAAGTGAAGAATAAATACACAGCATTGTAACCCATAAATAGAAGTGTGCGAAAATGTGATTGAGAGGAATCTTTTCTGAATGCTGAATTTTGTGAATGAACTATAAGAAGGATGAAGTATGTTGTTGGTCATTTTGTTATAATCTGTTCAGAAACCTGACCTATATTTAAATCATAATTCAGAAACAAGTAAGGCGGAAAGAAAAGGCCATCAGTAACTGAAAGAATTTATATCATTTGTGCAGTAGGAAACATGACAGTATTATAATTGCAACTTAAAAATTCCAACAATAAAACTCTGATTCGATTGACAGATGTATCATTGTTTGGTATCGCTATATTACAAATAAATACTCATGTTTTCTGACTTAAAATGGTGGTTCTGGAAATGGTTTTAAGCATATCTTTTGGAAATATAAATACGGCACACACTTTCTATCCTAAAAATGCTTACATTTTATAAGAAGTGAGAGATGTACATGTATGAATGTAATATAGGATAGGATTTATAGTTAAGTTACAAAGTACTTAGGTAGCTCAGAGAACTGGGAATGTTATTCCAGGGCATGGCTTGTTGGTGGTGGGTGCCATTGCGCCTTGAGAGAAGATTGATATAGTTGTTTGATTTGCACATCCATATTTTATAAAATTTGTCTTTAAGGTAGCTCCAGGAAAAATATTGAACCTTTTGTGATTGATTTGAACATTTTATTTAAAGATATGGACAAGATGAAGGAGTTTTGAATGGGTGACTGAAACAAAGTGAAAATCCTATTAAAAGTTAGGTGATTGTGTTAGGGAAGAGAGTTTGAGAGGAGAGGGACAAACATCTGAGAAACAATTCACCTCTGGACCTTAACAAAACAGCCCTAGTCACTTGGTGCATATCAGGTCATTTTCTTGAAAGTTGTTTTTCATTTTTTAAACAGTTGGGAGTGTAGCTGTGGAAGACCAGCCGGATGTCAGTGCTGTGCTGTCAGCTTACAACCAACAAGGAGACCCCACAATGTATGAAGAATACTATAGTGGACTGAAACACTTCATTGAATGTTCCTTGGACTGCCATCGGGCAGAGTTATCCCAACTCTTTTATCCTCTGTTTGTACACATGTACTTAGAACTAGTCTACAATCAACATGAGAATGAAGCAAAATCATTCTTTGAGAAGTATGTGAATTTTTATATATGTAATGTGTATACACATCAGTGACCACACAATGTAAGATTGTAACTCAAAAAGTACTTTATGAAGGAGAGATACCCAGTGCTATGAGAACCCAAAATTGGAGGGTGGGAGGAGCGTGATCTAGTTGGAGAAGTCCAGGGAAGGCTCCCAGGGGAAGTGATGCTTGATGTAAGATCTGAAGATTGGGTAGGAGTTAACCAGATGAAGAGAAGAGAGAAAGCATGTATGAACACTAAGCTCTGTGGTGGTAGGGCTCATGGCAGGTACAGAGATGAAAGAAAGGCAATGTGGCTGGAGCAGAGTATGGGCATGGGATGTGATACAACATGAAGCTGGACAATTGACTAAGGGCTGGAATAGGCAGGTTCTTGGGCTATGTTAAAGGTCTTGGTTTATTCTAAGAACAGTAGGGGGTTGTATTGGGTAGATTTAGCTGAGATTCACTGAAAACTATATCAATAACAGCATGAATAAAATAAAAGTTTGTTTTTGCTTTTATATTCCAAGAGCAGTAGGAAGCTGTGTTAGGATTAGATTAAATTGAGAGTGACTGAAAACCCAAATAATTGAGGCTGAAGTATGATACAAATTTATTTCTTTCTCTCATGAAGTTAGGCAGTCCAGGACTGGTATGGAGTCCTTGATTAGCAGGGACCCAGGTGCTCTTGATCTTGTTGTTTTACAATCCGAGTCATGCAGCTTCTACCTGTGGCACAAGATGCTTCCCTGGTTCTAAGCAATCACATCAGTGTTATAGTCAGCAGGAAAGGCACACATCCTTCCTGGAAGTTGCACATACTTCTTTTTTTATGTCATTGGTCAACGGCCACATCTACCTACAAGGGAGGTAGGAAGTGTGCTATTTACCTAGGTGCCATTGTGCTCAGTTATATTCAGGTGTACAATTGTGGAGAAAGAAAAAATGGATATTTGGGAGCAGTGATGCATCTCTGCTACAGAAATCATTGAAGGACCGTGTCATTATTAGATTTGCATTTTGAAAGGACCTTTATACAGTGGGGAAAATAGGTGTGTGTGGTTGGTGGGGGGGGGGCAGGTGGAGGGGAGACAGAGTGACTATAGATTGACTAGTTTGGGAGGTTATTGTAGTGGTTTTTTGTCAACCAGGGCGGGGATGATATTATTCCTCCTTCCCCTGAAAATGTGTGGAGGTGTTTTGGGTTGTCATAATGACTAGGATGGAGGAGCAGGTGGCTTAGGGATACCAAATGTTGTAATATGTGCAGGTAGTCCCACTTAGCAGAAAATTATTCTGCCCCAAATGCCAGTAGCACCCTTATTGAGAAATATTGGGGTGCAGCAGTATTGGTGAAACGAAGTGGACATTTTGGTGAGGCACTTGGTGATGGATTGGATGTGGAGGTGAGGGCGATGAAGCTATCATCATTGATAACTCCTAGGTTTCTGGCTCCCACAGCTGGATAGGGGTGCCCCTCACGGAGATAGGAAACCCTGGAAGAGGACCTAGTTTGTCAGGTTGTGGAAAAATCTTGAGCTCAGATTTGAATGTGCCTTCGACTTATTTAAGAGATGTCAAGTTTATAGGTGGATGATATATAAGGCTCTGGAGCTCAGAGGAGAGGTAGGGACTGGAGGTATAAATTGGAGTTGTGTGCAGTATTGATGATTGGATGAGATTGCCTGGGAGGGTTATGAAATGAATGAGAGGGCTAGGCCTGAGCCTTGAGGATCTCTAATGGGCAATGCTTAACAGTTTGAATGAGAGCTTTTTAGTACAAGCAATAGACCCAAAAGGCAGAACTTGTCATATGACACAGGTAGTGGTAATGGCGGAGTAATAAAATTCTGGACTCTTTGCTCCTATGCCATCATATTCATTATTCTATATACGGTGTCTAATAGAAGGCATATAGAGCAAATATTCTGTACATCACTGTTTTGGAAAATAATTAAGTAAGGCTGATGATGACAGAACTTCTACCCTCAGCTAATTTTTCTTACAGTATTGTCATCAATAAACCTCTTTCTTTTCCAGTATCTTGGTATTCACATAGGAAGCTGGAATATCCTAAGGGACTCTCTGCCTCTTTGTTATGGACAATCTCAGTCTTTGCCTGGACCCGGTGCTTAGATGGGGTTATGGGCAGTGAGTGATACAAACACTAAGA